ATCTTCCTGCTCTGAAGCTAGATAGGTGAATGAGCCCATTATGGATGCTAGTCAAACACCAGGTAAAACCTGTTCTTCGTGTCATCAGCGACGCCAGAATCATAAAATTCCCGGTAGGTTACGGCGAATTTCAGAAGTCGTTTGTTCGCGTCATTAGGGCCACCGAATATCTTCTTGGGCTACCGACTCCCGGATTTCCCGCTGTGGCAGCGCCCGCGAACGGCAATTTCTCTCAAATTCTCCCCCAGATTACTGATACCGCGAACTTGTTCACGGATGAAGTCCGCTCGGTTTTGCGCGATACCGTTCCGATTCTCTTGAAAATGGGAGTGAGCGGTGCATCCCGGAGAAGTACTCCACTTGTTTCCAAGTACGCTTATTTTAGGTGTCGTTCCTCAGGTTCTCCTAACTTTCCTCAGCTTCATGGATGTCAATTGGCAGCATAATAACCCTGTTAATCCCAGTGATGCTCAGATCGGGCCTCAAGGATATGACAATCATCTCTACTATTCGTGAGTGGCGACTTTTTGAAGAGATTTATTATATCTGATAGTATGCGGCAGCTTCGGGGTGAGCCTGCCTTCTTTCCTTGTTCCCTATAGAGCTGACATCTCTGAGGGCGTCGCTGATCCAAATCCCGACGCGTATCTCACAAGCATATGCAGTGAGCTTTTTTTTGTCCTGTTTCTACATTGTCGCGGCCGACCACGTTTGATAGATCTCAATCGCGTGCAAGCTGATGCAGCCCTCGGTGACAGCCCTCTTTGGTTCGGAGGTAGGTGCATACAATTCATATTTCGTCCGACGATAAAATTTCCAAGAATGGGGGCTGCCCACGCAATTCGATGCCACAGACGACTTCTTGATTCAATGGGCAGATGCGCAGAAGTTGGCATATAGTCAAGGAGTTGGTTGGATTGTAAGTACAAGTTGGATATATTCAAGCTTCGCTCACGATTTTAGTTCTGGAATTTCAAGGTGGAGAAGTCTACATTGGCTGGGAACCTGTCTCGACAATGGCAAGTCGTGCGCGTCTATTGCCGCAACGAACTAAGCAATACAACCAGGTCATATCTCGATGGTGTGCGCCTTGGATATCTGACGAAGGATCCCTCCAAGCTCCATGATCCTGACGTCTGCGTGCCATACCTCGTGTAGCACAATGCGTGTTTTTCTTTTCATGCTATCTTTGGTAGGAAGCTCAATACAACGGGTATATAAAGCCATGATACACTTTTTGGACTCCTTCTTCCAATCTTTGACAAAGGCGACAGAAAATGTGCCATGTTGCAAACTTGAACAGGTCACGCGTCACCACTTCCTGTCTCTTGCCATCATCTTCAATGATTCTCTCACCAGCTAAACGAGTCACCCGCCCAGCCATCTGTCTACCAACTTGTGGCCTATTCTGAGATGGACGTGGTAGTTGGGAAGATGGTGACAGTTTGCGGTAAAATATCAACTCTGATCTATCATTCGAGCCACAAAGGAAATCGCAGCATATGCACGATGCCTATCTAGGGCTTTCCAACGTGTTATCGTCGTTCATACACGACGCAGCTAATCTGACGGTCCTCAAAACACATAAATGGAAGATCGCAACTGGAAGCCAACCTAGCCATGTATTGCTTCGCTGTGATATTGGTAGCTTTGACCTCTTGCGCCGCTGCAGCTCCCTTTCTGCTTGCTCGACAAGCCATCACCCAGTTAACGACGGCTCAAATTAGCGCATTCAAGCCATACTCATTCTACGCCGCGGCAGCTTACTGTAGTCCTGCTGCGACCCTGGCGTGGAACTGCGGCAGTGCGTTTGTAAACATCCACTTTCTCCATTTCCTACTCATCTACTCTAACAGAGAATTGTGCTGCTAATCCCACATTCGAGCCAATTGCATCCGGCGGCGATGGGGACTCCATTCAGTTCTGGTATGTGGGGTACGACCCCACTCTACAGACCGTCATCGTCGGACATCAGGGGACAGACAGCAGCAAGATGTACACATTTTCTCCTCTGATCTGGTACTCTACTGACGCTGAAATAATAGCCTCCCGTGGTTGACAGATACCGACTTTTTTCTCGAGAGCCTAAGCCCTACTCTATTCCCTGGGTTGAGCAGCTCGATCCAGGCTCACAGTGGTTTCGCAAACGAGCAAGCCAAGTGCGCACCCCAGGTTATTATCATTTCAACCAGCTGACCATTAATGAGGACGGCCATACAAGTTTTGAGCGCGGTCAAAACGGGAATCACACGCTTTGCTGCGAAGAAAGTAACGATTATAGGACACAGTTTAGGAAAGCACTTCTTCAGATATTGGCCTGTGCTGCTAACAACTTGAAATAGGTGCCGCTCTTGCTCTGCTTGACTCCGTTTATCTACCGCTTCACCTTACTGGCGTAAGCTTCCAAACAATCACATATGCAATGCCTCGAGTGAGTTCAAAGTTCCGGCAAAACTATCCTTTACAGTCTTCTAGGTCGGCAACCAAGCGTTTGCGGACCACGCTAGCATCGGCAACACAATCACGCACATCAATAACAAGTCCGTCTCCCTTGCTACTTTTCGATATGCGTTCTGACGGCGGTCTTCTTCAAGAGAGGATGTTGTCCCCATTCTGCCTGGTATGAGCCGAGTTTCCCCGTCGTCTAGACTCTCACTCTATTAGGGAGATTCCTTGGTTTTCATCATCCAAACGGAGAAATCCACATACAGGTATTGTCTCCAAACCCGCGACTGGTGTCCAAATAACCGTCTCATGTTAGGACTCGGGCGTTTGGGACCTTTGTCCAGGTGAGCGACAGAAGCTTTCAAGTGACTGGAGCTCAAAATTTGAAAGGCGAAGATAATACAAGCAATCTTTGCAGCACTGGCGACGTTCATACTATCCTTAATGGCAAAGCAGGCGACCACGTTGGTGAGTTTTTTTTATGCGGCTCGTACAAATCCAAGTAAAATATTAACTCCTAGGTCCTTACGACGGCGTCCGAATGGTTTGCTAAGTATATCTTTCTTGTAAAGTATATATCGCGAGGATGGTCGATGAATTGAACCGAAAACGTGACCGCGTTTGTGACTAGTGACCGTCGAAGATCCGCTCGTTGACCGCTTGCATGAACTGGGAAAGCACCGCACGAGGTCGAACTTCTTTGAGGCTTGGCCCACTCTTCTGTCTACAGCCAACTCCGTCCATCAGCCACGGCGCATTCTATCGACGACGGAGCAAGTCCTTTCCCGCTTCGAGCACCCTGCAGTTACTTACTCTACTCAGTGCCAATGCAACCATGCGCAAAAGCTTAAAACGTGGGGGTTCTTCAAGATGTCCGTTCTCAGCCTCCACCCACCATGGTACGAGTTGCGCTCGCAGCTCTCGCACTTGCGACATACTTTGTCGCGCCTGCTCGATGCCATCCAATCGCCCCTCTGGTGAACCAAAGCATCGTAATGATTTCAAGCGGACAGATTGCCAAATACAAGCCTTATACGTTCTTCGCTGCTGCTGCCTATTGTCCTGAAAACTCCACGACGACATGGACCTGCGGAGGTATGTGGTCCTGTCAAGCTCACCTTCTTTTCCGGTTGATGTTTGCCAGCCAACTGCGACGCTAATCGCGACTTCAAAGTAGTCGCAGCTGGCGGCGACGGAGCATGGACTCAGTACTGTGAGTTTGTCTCTCTAAGGAAGTTTTCACTTCTGCTGAGTCGTTATAAAGGGTTCGTTGGATATTCGCCGTCGCTTAATGTATATGGACTCTCGCTAGCTCGTTTGACCGCTCATCTTGCTGCAGAGTGTCATCGTATCGCACGAGGGAACGCATCCGAGCTCCATGTAAGCCTCGTTCCTTGGTCCGACATTTCCTCATCTTGTGCCATTATAGCGTTCCCCTTTTGACTGACGCCTCGCTTGTTCAAAAACATCTCGAGACCACCCTCTTCCCTGGAATAGACACTACTATCATGGTTCATTGCGGTTTTGCCGATGAGCACGCAAAGTAGGTCTTCACCGATGGACGATCTCACGAATTCTCCTGACAAAATACTGCAGAACTGCGATGCAAGTTCTTGCTGCTGTCAAACAATCCCTGGTGAAATTCGACGCAAGTCATGTTACCGTGGTCGGACATTCGCTGGTAAGTGAGCTGGAACTCGAGTGTACGATCTCATACCAACACATGTGCAGGGTCAGTTGTCCTCTTTGGCTCAATTCTGACAATCGAACACTTCTCGTAGGAGGCGCTCTCGCTCTGCTAGACTCTGTCTTCCTTCCTCTGCACATCCCCTCCTCTGTCAAAGTCAATACGGTAGTGTATGGTTTACCCAGAGTGTGTACCGACCTTTCACATTATTTTGTCGGGTATTGAAAATGGACCTGTAGGTCGGAAATCAAGATTTCGCAAACTATGTCGATGCGCACACCTCTCTGACTCGGATTAACAACCAGTACGAGTCATCCTCACCTCACCGCTTTCAATCCCACAATCATTTCTCAGGAAAGACGTAGTCCCAGTAATCCCGAGTGGCTGATTCGTCCTCCTCGATTTCATGCATATTGATTTGTCGATCCAGTCAGAGTTCCGCTGTATGGGGTGAATTACCACCATCCGTCGGGCGAGATGCACATACAGGTCCGTCTTGATCTCTTAGAGATGCACGAGTTTTGAAGTGAATTGCACAGGCTTCGGGCGAATGGGACGCCTGTCTGGGTGAGCCGACCGCCGTTGGTTTTTATCTATCGCCGACTGATGGTATGTAGGTCAAGAAAACGAGAGTTGGTTCTGTTCTGTTGGGAGCGTGCCGACGGTACTTTCTGGTTCAATTGTCCAACACAGCGGTCCGTACGATGGGGTGGAGATTTCTTGTTAGTTGCACTACGTGAATCTATGAATTTGGGACTACATCGGTAGCTTGTACATCGGTAGCCTGTATACCATGTTGCGCGGAGAAAAAGAGCGCAAACGAAGGCGACAGCAAAGCAGGAGGATGCGAAAGAAGAAAGAAAAAAAGCTCTCGACCTGGGAGTCGAACCCAGCTTTCGCGCGCACCAATTTTTTGACAGGCGCGTGTACTAACCGATATACTAGTCGAGATTGAGATAGCTCTGTATATGGCCATACACACTCCGCGTCATGTGTGTAATAGGCTGTGAAAGTATCCAAACTGCATTTATGTGGACCGACATTCACTGCTATCGACTCCGATACCGCCAGAACGAGTTATTACAATAAGACACCGGAATCCCCGTCAAAGAAACCCCACATGAAAAGGTCGCTGTTGTTGGTCAATCCATCTCCAACGTGCTGAGCGCGGGAATCGGGCGTTCCGCTTGGGCAGAAATACGCGCCCCGTGACGGAGAGCTTTAAAATGAGCATAATCGTAGGTAGCCGTGTGAGCTTGGGAAGCGGTGAGTTTAGCGCATGCAAGTGTGAAAAACACCCACCAGTATTGCGGTTATCCTAAGAGGGGATTAGGAGTCAGTAGAGCATGACTGTAGCTGGTGCCCGACATACCCAGAGGACGACCGTCATGGGCTCCCACTTGACGCGAATTTGGTGATCGCCCGAGGAGGCGATATGGGCGTACAAGAAGTTGAGTAATAGATCTATGCCGTCCGTCATGAGCTTTTTGACAAGAAGGAAAAAAAGTGGATCACCAGATTCTTCACGCTTCATGCCCACAATACGGCGAGTGAACTGTTGATTGACATAGAGCGATTCTTCCCCGGTGACCGGATGGCGACGGACAACTGGGTGGATGGTCTCGATCGGGTCGCGGCGGGTCATTCCGCCCTGCTTGGAGCGCAACGTTCCGACTGCCGTGTGGGTCGCCTTCAGGTTTCGAAGGATGGCTTGCATGGTTGGCGACAAGGACCGAAAGTTGAGAACTTGGGATGAGTACAGAGTATCACCGCCGAGCTCCGGCTGAGCGAGGAGGAAGAAGCACGTCAGACCGGCTGGTTGGAGCTCGAAAGAACAATCTGGATAGGGAGAGTCAATGCAGAAACAGGTGGCTCGAGATCATGGTTACCTGAATGCCAAAGGGTGCTGGTGATACTATCCTCCTTGAACCGCGACTTGGCATCCCTAAGACGAGGTCAGAGGCTGACGATAAATGAAAAAGAGGCCCGAAACTTGTACACCAAGTGAATGTCGTGATGTCCTTCTGGATGACCAGAGGTCGGGTGTGTATGGAGAGGTCCAAATTGCGACACAAACGAGGTATAAAAACTAGGCCCGCGATCGATGAAGTCTTGTTGGCCTCGGAACACGACCACACCGCGACGGGATACCTGAAGGATTTAGCCTCCCGGCCTCAAAATGAACTGAACGTCGTACCTCGAGAGCCAGCTGGTCCTTCTGGTCGGGGCTGAGCGTCGCAAGGTTGCAGCCGCGGACCTCGGAGCCAAAACTGGGCAGCATCTGGACGACATTGGCGTCTTTGAGGAAGGAGCGAGGGTCTGGATGATGCTGCAGAGCTCGCGAGCCGGCGTCAATGTGCGCGAACGGCTGGAGTGGCGGGTACTTGATGTTGGAATACGTGGCCAAGAGGTGTGCATAGCGATAGGGCTCTGTGGTGTCATCGGATGACTTTTTGGCGGCATCGCCGACTAGATGCAGTACAGGGAGGACTGAGGTGGTCGTGGAGGTGACAACGGTCGACATTTTGGGGGCCGAGATAATGTTGAATGAGCTGCAACGCTTTATATCGGTAGATTCCAGATCCAGTCAGATACTCGAGTGGGAAATGTTCGAGGCGCCATAGGCTGAACACACGCATAGGAATTGGAGCTGATTAACGTGAAAGAACCTGAGAAAGAATAAAACACCAAGTCGCCATGATCTGGATCGAGCCGGTTGAAACGAGGCAGGGCCAAGCGAAGCCAGTAGCACGCAGTAGATATTATACGCAGCAGAGCGTTATCCTGGTCGTAGTCTTCAGAGTGAGTCCAGAAGAAAAAATAGCCAATCTAAAAGGGATTGTCTTTTCGCAGTAGCATGCGAGAGATTCGAAAAGACGCCGCGCCCAATGGATTAATCCTGAATACTTGCGTGTAGCTGCGGCATGCGCCGCTGACAGACAAGGAGACTCGGAGCGAATGGATGAAGGTTGTAGATTGAGCCATATGTTTGCGATGTGTTGAGTATGCTTAATATAGACTATAATCGAAGTTGGACGAGTGAGCAAAGGAGGATTCACAATCAGTTCAAGATGCGCCAACCAGGTTTGCACGCGGGTCCGACAAAGAGAAGCAGAGAGGTCGGTCAGCTGAGGGAACCAACGCGGAAAAAACGACGCTTGAAAGGTCGGGACCGGTCCACTGTGAGTGTGACTGCTGTAACATCTATTCATGGCTCCACACCTCCACATCCGCTTTAGAAAGCAACGAGGAGTGAATCTCGGTGGGCCCTTGTCCATGTAAACAGCTTGCGTGTGAGCTACTTCAGGTTGCTGGTTTGTGCTGGAACGGTGGATTTCCGACCACCCTTTTCGCTTTGCTGTTGCTCCAGCACAGAGTGACCTAGACATCGCTCGTGGGAACAATGCACGCATTGTCCTGGAGGAACACTACGACAGTTGGATCACTGAAACTGACTGGGCATGGATCGCTGACCATGGCTTCAACACGGTCAGGATCCCGGTCCGTTCATATCAAGCATTCCTGTCGTAACGAGCTCAGGCTCAAGCCCTTAGATCGGTTTCTACCACTTGTGCGGAGTCGATGTGTCCGTTCTTCTGGGAACGGATTTTGCAGAGCTAGCCCATGTTTTCTCCGGCGCCTGGGTTCGTACTCCAATATCTCGGTTCTTCCCTCACGGTCGGATCCAGTCGCGGATAGTGAAGGCCATCGAAACTGCTCATCGGTTTGGGCTCGGCGTGTTACTCGGTAATTCTCGCTCCACAGTTTGCCACGTATTTTCATCCACCAATCGAAAGATCTTCATGCCGCCGCGGGCAAGCAGAACCCAGACGCTCATTCAGGCTCTTGCAACCCACCCACATTTTTCAGCGATGCTCACAAGCGTCAGCAGACTATCCATGTCCTTCGCACTCTCGTACTGCAGCTCAAATCATTCTCAAATGTGGTTGGAGTCGAGCTTCTCAATGAACCACAGCCAAGCTCAGACTCGGAACTAAAGAAGTGGTATTCCGATGCATCCAAGGCTCTCGCGGCTGTCGATCCAACTCTCCCCATCTACATCAGTGACTGCTGGAAGACTGAGCAGTATTCCGAATTCATCAAATCCACTCTACCGACGTCGTCTTTCTTAGTTTTGGACCACCATCTTTATCGCTGTTTTACATCCGAGGACATCAAAACGCCTGCGACTGCTCATGCTCAAGCACTCACAGACAGTCATGCGCCAACTCCGCGCATGTTTGCACGTGTTGCGGAAACACTTGACGAAGCGGGCGCGGGCTTTATCATTGGCGAATGGTCTGGTGCATTGCACCCAGGCTCTCTTACTGGGTCTGCCGATGAAAGAAAAGGATACATCGCCGCCCAGCTCGCCCTGTACGAAGCACACTGCTCTGGTCATTTCTTCTGGACATACAAAAAGGTGGGACAGAACCCGGACCGAGGCTGGTGTCTACGCGACGCCTTTGAAGGCGGAGAATTCCCTCGGGTGGGAATGTTCTTGTCGAAGAGCTTCGAGGGTGATCATGCGCGCAGGGTAAGCACGCGAGATCGCCTCCAAGAGGCGACACTAGGTGAGATCCAGTTGTTTAGACAATCTACCAACGGCCTGACGCCCTATATTCAAGGGAATCACACGTCGTACTGGTCCCGATACCCTGGAGACTACCACCATGCCCGCTTCGCCGAAGGCTTTATCCTGGGATGGGACGACGCGTACGCCTTCTTGATGTCCAACAATCTCCCAAACAAGGCAGTTCCAGAGCTTGGATTCGTCGGGGCGTGGGCACGCACCAGGACCACGGACCACGGTGCCAGCTTCTGGGAGTATCGTAAGCAATTCCTTCCCATGGGTTCCACCGTCCTATTTCAATTCAGGACACGGTTTTCAGCAAGGCGTTGCCGCAGCGAGGTTGGACTTTTCCGCGCATTATTGTTGAAGTTACACGCGGCTCCGCACTGGGAACCGTTGATACTCCCGTTCGCTTTCGTCGATGACCCAGAGGTCCTTGTCGACGAGTCTAGAGTGTCGTCGGAGGATTTCTGTCTCTGTTGGCAATGCTTTCCGGCGTAGATCGAGAATTCTGTATGATATTTAGCGGTCAGAAAAACGAGATGAAGCGCACGTACAAGCGACAGGCAACAATATTGGATAGAGTCAGCGCGTATGGTAGTCCAACCCCATTTTGGTGAGTTTGAGGGCTAAGCATGACGTTGAATAATGGCCCCTCCTGCGAGTACGAGTCATGGTTCACCTGAAGTATGTGCCTAGCGCCAACGCATGGATCACCAACATGAAGACGAACGCTCCCAGACCTGAGATGCGTTGGCCAGTGATTCGCACGTTTGAGAGAAGCAGGAACCTTGTCTAATGAATGCGCGTCCGAGAGAACCTCGGGTGCTATGTGTCCGCAAGCAATACTGTCATCAAATCGTTAGTAATGCATGCAAAGTTTCGTAGGGACTGCCCTCACAATTGCGATAACAGCCAAAGACAAAAAATCCATCAGAGACGAGGCGCCCTAAACACCCATTGGGTCTACAGAAAGGGATCAAGGGCAATTAAGCGTACCAGGGCAGTCTACGGCAGGGTCAGCAGACGAAGACTGCGATATATAAGCCTCACAGTCAGACGAATCCCACTTTGACGAGTCGAATAGTCCGGAAAGCATCCCGTGCCTCGAAGGACGACGAATACGATGTCAGGCAATGACGGGACATTGATGCAAAAGAACCAGACGTTGACACAGACCAGTCCCATGTACAGCAGTAGCAGTAGAGCAAGGACGGATTGACGACGTCCGGCAAATGCATATGCGCGCATGAGCATGACGGCTATGGTGGATTGAGTGAGATGCACGTAAAGGACAACGTGAGTCAGTCTCTACCTGGTCCAAAAAGTTGCTGTAGCAGGTCAAGTTGGAGAAATCGTATTAGATTTTGCGTACCAA